TTTTTTTTTTTTTTTTTACAGCTTTTACGTTTTATCTTCGTCTTGTTCTTTTAAAAACATTTTGTTTATTAGGTAAAAAAGGAAAAAAATATGAAAAAAAAATCTTACTAGCCAAGTCACAAAGAGAATGGGTTGCACATAGACTTATGGAATAAAGTTTAATTTGTGATTTTTTTGTTTCGTTATGTTTCTAATCTTGATGTAAATTTACACTATTTATAAATACATATTTATTGCTTGAAAATATTTGTTGATGGAATGCTGTTATTTTTTCCAGAGTACCTGCCATTAAATTTGAAGGAGTTTTGTCATTTTAACACAACTCCTCTTACATTTTCTATATATAAATAAAATTGCTTAGCAAGCATTGTACAGAAACGGACATTTAAAATTGTTTTATTGTTTGAAGAATGTTTTATGATGAGTCAATAAACACAAAGTTGTCAAATTATCCATGCATTTTGGTTCCTCAGACACACCACAACACTTCTTATATGTAGCATTCTTTACAGGTATTATTAAAATAAAAACAAACACCTGTAAAAACATTGATGTGTAAGAGTACAGGCCTGAAACCCAGCAGACAATGTAGCTGTAGACTGACACACACAGAATCCTACACTGAATGCCAGGTTCAGAACTCACCCAGTATCTCAAAAATGTCATTTTATATTTATAACAAAAATGTCTTGTGTCCTCTGAACTACCCATGCAGTCTCGGATTAACTCCGTTGAAGGCTTTTCTCTTCACAGTGGGTGGGCATTCGAGACATTTCCTTTGAAATCTAAAAGCTGCCTGGCAGAAAGATCACAAGCAGAGTGTTTGAACTACACATGGACAATGTTAGAAAGGAATTCCAATAAGAGAAATTAACAGGCTGCTACATATGAGCCTCCTGTCATTCTCAAGTGTCCTGATCAACCTGGCTGCCAGCAGAGACCCAGTAGCCAGATGTAGCTGCTGCCAGCCCCACAGGATCTACACTGACTACTGAGCAACCGCTGTGCACCCTGTGGCTCTGCACCTCCAGTTTGAGCCAAAATGGCCGCCCAGGTGTCACATTGTAGCCAGGACAGGAAATGAAGAGGAGCAAAACTTCTTCATGCAGAGGGAATATGACAAACAAGCAGGCTCCCTGGGTCTCAGATGTGTTGTCAGCGTTGCAGGTGAGGATGTGACTAAGAACATACAGCTGTAATACAAAAACTATCCTATAAAAGTTGTACTTCTGCACCTGAAATGGTCTTTAATGTGAACAGACAGCTAACAATGCTAACAGTGCAGCAGACAGAAGCACTTTGCCCACTTGCACCTTCACCCATAATGCTCTGCCAATGTACTGTGTCGACCACATGTGTTGTACTGCTAACATACTTGTCAAGTGTCATTGCTTCATTTTAAGAGCTAACAAGCTCAAATTTTGGGAATCTATTCAGAGAGTATTTCTGCAGTGGAGAGACTCTATCACTTCAGCTGTGCTACTAAGATGTTAAATACACACAATACTACCTGTAAATAATGACTTAGCTAACTATATTTAGCGCTAATTAGCAAATTAGCATGAACAACTAAGATGGTAAACCTGGCATATATCCTCTACACTAATTGACATTCCCAAATATGTCAGCTGCATGTTATGTTTGCTGCTAATTAGCAAATGTTAGCGTGCTAACACTTTAACACTTTTTCATTAATTTCAACTGTACTTTATGTTTCGTGCTAAGTAGCTAATTTGACATGCTAACACTTAACTACAATGGTAAACCTGGCTGGCAAAGGCCTACTCAACTACTTGTAATTTCATTATTCTCAACCTGCATGTTATGTTTACTGCTAATTAGCTAATTTGGCATGCTAACACTCCACTATGATGGCAAACCTGGCTGGCTAATACCTGCTAAGCTACTTGTCATCCCCATTATTCTCAACCTGCGCTTCATGTTTACTGTTAATTAGCAGTTATTAGCATGCTAACACTCAACTATGATGGCAAACCTGGCTGGCAAAAGCCCACTAAACTGTTTGTCATTCCCATAATTCTCAACCTGCATGTTGTGTTACTGCTAATTAGCAAATGTTAGCATGCTAACACTCAACCAAGCTGGTAAACTTGGCAAATATCTGGACAACTATTTGACATTCTCATTAACTTTCACTGTACTTTATGTTTAGTGCTAAGTAGCTAATTTGGCATGCTAACACTCAACTACAATGGTAAACCTGGCTGGCTAATACCTGCTAAACTATTAGCCATTCCCATTATTCCCAATCTGCATGTTATGTTAACTTCCAATTAGCAAATGTTAGCATGCTAACACTCAGCTACGATGGTAAACCTGGCTGGCTAATACCTGCTAAACTATATGTCATTCCCATTATTCTCAACCTGCATATTATGTTTACTGCTAATTAGCAAATGTTACCATGCTAACACTTGGCAAATATCTGCACAGCTATTTGACATTCTCATTAATTTCCACTGTACTTTATGTTTAGTGCTAAGTAGCTAATTTGGCATGCTAACACTCAACTACGATGGTAAACCTGGCTTGCTAATACATGCTAAGCTATTTGTCATTCCCATTATTCTCACCTGTACTTCATGTTTACTGCTAATTAGCAAATGTTAGCATGCTAACATTCAACCAAGCTGATAAACTTGGCAAATACCTGAAGAACTATTTGACATTCTCATTAATTTCCACTGTACTTTATGTTTAGTGCTAAGTAGCTAATTTGGCATGCTAACACTCAACTACGAAGGTAAATCTGGCTGGCTAATACCTGCTAAGCTATTTGTCATTCCAATTATTCTCACCTGCGCTTCATGTTTACTGTTAATTAGCAATTGTTAGCATGCTAACACTGAACTACAATGGTAAACCTGGCTGGCTAATACCTGCTAAACTATTTGTCATTCAAATAATTCTCAGCTGCACTTTATGTTTACTGTTAATTGTCAAGTCACTGACTTGACTTGACTGTTAATTAGCAATTGTTAGCATGCTAACACTCGGCAAATATCTGCAGAACTATTTGACTTTCTCATTAATTTCCACTGTACTTTATGTTTAGTGCTAAGTAGCTAATTTAGCATGCTAATACTCAACTACGATGGTAAATCTGGCTGGCTAATACCTGCTAACTATTAGTCAATCTCGTTCTCAAACTGCATGTTATGTTTACTGCTAATTAGCAATTGTTAGCATGCTAACTATGCCCCCAGCCTTGCACCAAATTTTTCCAAGTGGCCACCTGCAGTATTCCAGCAAAAAAAATCCACTGCAGCCCAGAAAGCATTTTCCCGATAGGCCACCATTATAAAAGAGACGGTATCTAGTTATTATAAATCTACGATGCAAACACACTAAACTAAGACAATAAACCTGGTAAATAATTGCTGAACATCTAGCATTGCTGCAGTGGTGTTAGCATTTAGCTCAAACGTGTCTGAAGACTCATCTTCATATTGTCATCACATTGATTGTTGTAAAAATTGTCAAAAGTATCTAAACAGTCATAATTTTTTAAAACCACAAATACAGAGAGCATTAACAGGTTCAGGTGCAGGCAGTATAAAGATGCTAAACTGCAATTTTCCCTTCTCATCTCCCTCTTTGCCTTTCAGCATCAAACAGTCCCTCTGCTCCCACGCTGAAACCAAGATGGCCGTCTGTTGCGGCGTCCATTTTGACTGCCACAGATGGCCGATGGAGGACTTTCCACCACCTTTCCTGGCGTGTCCGTCTGCTGTTTGACGTCTGACGGGAGTCCTGGGGGACAAAAAGAGGTTGGGGTAAGAATCACTGTGACCATATGAGGACTGCACACAAATTCAGAATCCAACATTTAATATTCAACATTTAAAAGCAGTGTTAATGCTCAATCCTCTGGTGGTCATGCAGCAGTGCTAAAATGTACTGCATATACATATTTGCTGCTGTTACCTTTATGTAACACTTAACATTTTGACTTTCTGCCCACAAACGCTTTTACTTTGGCGGAGGCACACAGGAACAAAACCAAGTGTGGGCTGAGAAATCGTGATTCTAGGAAACAAGATGCCAGTTTTAGAACAGGAAGTCTTCATCAGTTAAGAAGATTAACACTTCCTGTTGGCTGTCTGAAACGACATGACAGGAAACTTGAGTTTCGCGATACAGTGACAATGGTGTTATATGTTCGGAGAGGCAGGGTAGGGGAAGCAGGCAGTAGAAGGGTGCAAATATAATATGTGTGTATGCTAAAGTGTTGCACGTCTCATACTACTGGACTAGTCCTTTAACCCTCCCTCTATCTTCCACCTATATCCTCCAAATCTGGCAATGATCCAGCGGAGAGGTATGTGAACTCTGCTTGGCCCAGACCACCAACCACCCCCCTCCTCAAATCCAGACCTCCTAACAGTGTCTCCCTGTGTCGCAGTGGGGGGAGAAAAGGAGAGAAAAAGCCAAGAGAGAAGGAGTTAAACCAGCAGTGTGATCAATCCCCTCCTCATCCCCCCCCCCCCCCCCCCCCCCCCCCCCCCCCCCCCCNCCCCCCCCCCCCCCCCCCCCCCCCCCCCCCCCCCCCCTTCCTTCCTGTTCCCTCCATCTCCTAGCGTTTCCGCCTTTGTGAGAAACAGACAGGTGGCCCTGACTGCTAATTTTAACCGGGCCGATTGTCTGCCTGCAATTCCCACAGCTATGTATAGATGCCTGCAATAAACCAAGTAGGTCAGTGTGTGAGACCCACACACATGCACACACACCTACAGGCACACACACACACACACACACACACACACCGGGGCCCTGACCTCTAAAAATGTCTGACTCGTCCATTCATGCACTCCCGCCTCTGTTGCAAG